AAAGAAAAAAAAAAAAAAAGAAAAAAAAGAATAATTTGGAAAATATGAAAAAGATGATACCAAGGGATCCCTTATTCTTCAAGCTCTATGGAATATTGTGAAATTCCTAGATCAAAGGTAACCATTTAGAAATCTGATAAAAAGATGTCACACATTATTATTAGTACAGTATGTACCTATCAATATCTAAATCTCATTTGAAATTCTCTGAAAATTGTAATAACTGAATAGAAAAATTGGTTGGCTCCCACCTCAGTTCTTCTGATTAAGGATTTCCACTATAGATAAGTGGATTGTGCTGCATTCAAGATTCTTTACCCATCGTTTGTGTTGAACTTACATTGATCCTAACCTGTAAGCAGCTTCAGGCATGCCAGAGGATATCACGCAGCTCAAAGATAAGTTTTTTGAATTGCTTGTGTCTGTTCCACTGCAGTTGACTTTCTCTTGTTCCGTACATTTCTCAGCACCGTTTGTTTGAGAAACTCGATCGTTATCCTGTTCAGTGTTACAATCTGCTTTGTTAAGTTGATCAAAGATATTATCATTCCCGTTGGAACCAGTATTGCCATTATTTCCCATATTCTCGACGTTCTCGTTGCCTTCCATCTCCGCGTTCATCATTTCTGGTACAATTAAAATGTCCTCGAGCTTCACCAAGGGCGAATCGTTCTCTTGAGTATCTTCCTCCAGGCTTGTGACTGTGTCCAGATCGAGCTCTTGCTCTGATTCAGGTGTTTTATTCATATTAGCCGCCATGGCAGCAAGTTTTGAGCTACGCACAGTCGCCACAGGTATTGGCTTAGAAACTTTTTTATTTTCCAACAAAGCGATCGTCACTGCTGAATCTTCTAATGGCATTTCAAGCAAATGTGTTTCTTCCCTAGAAAAGTGAGATAAGCAGTTGCCAATCTTCGTTTCTCTTGAATTAGATCGTTGGTTGTGCCATAATCTGCTTTTTGAACACATTCTTGTCTACAACTCTGATCGATGGAAGTATTGCAAGAGCATACACAGATGAATTTATAAAGCATTATGTATATATATAAAAACATGCTTCTAAGTATGCAGTGAATTATAGTTGTTATAATAACATTTTTTTTTTTTTTTTTTTTTTTTTTTTTTTTTTAATGAAAGCAAGCTATGAAACGAATAGGGAAAATATAGTATAATAGTAAAGTGGTGCTTTTATGTGAAATATATATGAATAAGAAATAAGAAAGTTAAAGAATGATTATTACTTTTTAGGAAACACGAATATTAGTTGAATAAGTCTGAGAATGAATGTGAATGATTTTAAGGAATCTATCCAGTGAGAGTATACTCATTCTTTTATATTTCACTATCAATAATTTCTTTTATTTGAAATAATTATAAGTATTTATTGGTCAATTCAGTTTGATTCTCTTTACTTATATGATCCAAAGATCGAAAGTAAAAGCAATTGCCGTGGGATTGTACATTGAATACACGATAAATGTCGCAAATTTATCCACACATACTACATACAACTATAAAGGGGGGTATGAAGTATATAGTTAAATTTTAAAAGAGCACAATCATGCATGGAATAAATCGTAATATGTATATATGTTATAAAACATATCTCACAATTAAATTTTATGTATGTTTGTGTAAATTGGACTAACGTTTCATGCGCATATATATATTTACTTAAACCTGGCTCACAAAAGTATAAAACGAATTGTATAATTTATTTTATACGACCGAGACAGGTCAACAGTTTTAATTATTCTCAAATTAACTACAGTAACAATTAACATAGCAATAAATATACTCAGAGGCATAAGTAACCAAAAATTTTAAAAATAACCATGTCAATATGATACCAATGTGAAGTGATGCAGCTAGTGAAAGAATTGTATGATAATGTTGAAATTAAATGCAGGTAATTCAACCAAAGATTAACAAGACTTCTCTCATAAAAGTAGCAAGCTATTTGGAACAATATTTTTAAGTCTTTAACTTTCTTTAATAAACTCTATCTTAATACGGCGGAATTGCAATCGATGTAAAATTTGAAAAGCGACTACTGATAGTTGGCAGACTAAGAAAAGATCGTTTTAATATCAAGTATTTAAATGAGAAATGCTTTTTAAAAAGAAGAATGTTATCGCAATGTTGCCGAACGTTCATGCAAAAAAAAAAAAGAAAATGAAACTAAGCAAAATTGCGATACTGTAAAAAATAATTTCTAGAGAAGTATGAACACCAACACCAAATGACGACAAGAGAAAAATGTTAACCTCGGTTCCTCTCCATTCTCCGTCGATGGGATCAAAATTTTGACAGGCACCTTGTTTTTCCTCCTGGCAATATTTAAATTGCAATGATATGAGTATCATTGTGAACTAATTAATGTTATGAGATATGAAAAAGTAGTTGTATCATGAAAATATTTCCCTGTTCTCTGTTCTGAACAGATACAATCAGATTGTGGTATATGCACGTGCAATTTCATTTTAGTACGGAATATGTTGTAGGTGAAAACAATTATAGTATGATACACGGTTTGGAAAAGATCAAAATTTATGCCCCTGTGTTTTTCATAAAAGCAAATAGATCATAACTTTAACTTCGTTAATTTTTCACTACATTCCATGCATGGGAAGTAATTGGAATGTGTAAAGAAGTATATTATAATTTATCTTTCTTATCGTATTTTTAATCTCAGCAAAAGACAAGCAAAATGAGAACACAAAAATACTTCCTTATATAGAATAAAACAGATCTTGAAATTTCTTTGTGTTTATCATGCAAAACTCCATCTTTTAACTCCAAAGTTGAACGATCGTACACGCGTCACTTATTTTAATTAGCGAATCTACGATTAAAATAGCATCGTAATAAATTCGTTGAACTTACTTCTTTTTACCCTTGCACCCACGTTTCTTCTTTGGATCGACCTCTTGTGGATTAACAAGTTGTATATCATCTTGTAATTGAATAGAATCATCAACTAGGTGAACTGTTTCCATATTGGTGTCTTCCATTATTGTGGTATTATTATGATCTGGACTTTCAATAGATGGATTTTGATGCCCTTCTAGCATTCTAAATATATAGATATATATTTATGAAAAAACTTATTCCGTGTAAATAATAAAAATAATATAATTATAATGCAAAAAGTAACATACTCTGCAACGATATATTCCGAATCCAAATCTGGTTCTGATGCATCGAGTTCGTGAATCACAGGCCCTACAGGCGACGCTTGCGGCTGAAAATAAAGATAAAAACGACGATGTACATAAAAAAAAAAGATAGAATCATGGAAACGTTCTCAAACAGATATAGTTACCTTTGATAATTTGGCTTGTTTGCTACGCTGACGGCTCGAGTCATCGATCATTAGTGGATATCTTCTCTTAACAGAGAGACCACCACCTCTTGAAGGCTGTACCAAAGTAACTAGAAAGTGTATAAGTTTATTAACAATTTGTTGCTGCTTCAGATGTTTTTGCCTAAGCATTGCCAGTTCTCTCCATAATGCTTCATTCTCTCTTTTCATGGCCCCAAGTTTTGAATCTAAATGTTCTTGACGACCCCTCATACTTCTTACTTCATTGAGCATTTTGTTCATTAATTCTGGTTTAATTGGAGTAAGTGTTGGATCCTGCCCTTTGCTGGATGCAATCTAGATAAATCACAGCAAAAAAATATATTTCAAATATTCAGTATCCCTAGTTAATGATTCTATGGAATATAAAAGCACTTACTTTTCTTTTAATGTGTTCTACAAGATATGGGTGTCCTTTACAAAAAAATTGATGTGCAAATTCCATTTCATCTCTGTCACATTTTAAACCACCAAGTTCAACAGAAACCTTCTTGTGAAAACCATCTATAGAATACATATATGTATATATTTAATAAATTATAAAATATCACATCAATATACATATTAGGAATTATATATTATTGCTTACACATATTCAACTGTCTAACAAAGCTGGCCATATTATTATGTTTGTAATAATGGGGCAACAATTCCCTTGCAAATTGTGCCTGGTTCCTAATGAAGAAACTCCTTCCATTCTAAAATAAATTAGTGCATGTAGTAATACATATCTTGAACCAAATGTTTGAAAAAGCTACATTATGATATTAATCTCTTTCTCTATTGATTTTTTATGAATATATGTAATCAAATATCTTCAGTCAATTCAAGCAGTCAATAACTATACTTCCTATATTTTTCATAAATTTTTATGGGAAATTTCACATATTAAAACTAAAAACTGTGTGCCATCTACATTACATTTATTTAATACATATTTTATAAATGTTTTCAAGTATTAAATGTTAATAATATCATTCCATTATGCTTTTAAAATATGATTTATTGAATTTTCTTATAAAACAATGCATTTAAATCATTCTAAGGAATATTTGAATGATGTGTTCAAAGACCAAAACTTAAGATAAAAAAAACTATCATACATTTAATTGTAAATCTTTATTGCCTAGTACAATGCGCATAAAATAGATTTTTTTTTTTATTACAACGCCAATACAAATAAAATATTTTAAACATACGTAAATTTGTTTATTATTTGTAAATCTATTATTATATCGAAAAAAATCGTTAATGTTGAGCAATTTACACATACGTTAATTATACAGAGAAACAATTACAAACGTTAAGTTACAGAAAGTATACGTTTAAACAGAGAGCTTTGCAATTAAATATTTTTTTCGTTACTGCAGTGATCTGGCTGTCATCCTAGCTGATCCAGTAGCGAAACTTTGATATTCAATGAGAAAACGCTTGATTATTGAAATAATGCAATACTCCGCATCGCACGAGTAAGTGCTGAATGAATTGCGGCGATGTCGGGTGCATGTGAAATATAGGTTGTGTACATAAAAATGTACACTGCGGAGGTCAACGTTTAGCTTACGTTTTAGTATATTCGGCTGTACGACATTTGCATTGCGAATAAGTAAACGGTGTCGCAGAGCTGAGCGAGCGACGCATTAAAATTTCTAATGCGTTAAAACCATGGGAGTACAAGTGAATAACAAAATAAAAGTACTTACGGGTGACCAACAAATAAGGTCGTCAGTTTCAGGATCCTCGACCAGCTTCCAGAGCTTGGCAAGGAACGCCGGCACGCTTGTACCTAATTCCGGGATTGTATGCATCTTAGCGTCAATTAGTTTAATTAAAACGTGTAATAATTGTTCAGTTTTTGAACTTGATCTATCACGAAAAAATCTTCACATCTCACGACAATGGCTGACCGCTGACGATGTTATTCTGCTAGTAGTACTTACAGGTGAGGAGAGAGGGGGAAACATTTTAATGGATGACCATGTTCGCTTTCCATTTAGAGCCGGTATCCTACATATTGTCAGTGTTGTAGTAATGGGATTGGCGTATTCTGTTGTAGCCGAGAATTCAGCCACTGTGCGGACTTGAAGCTTAATACGCGGATTTTAATGGAAACTGGACCTTAAGTTGTCCTTCAAGCAGGGTTCTCAAGTCGCGACAAATGAGATGAAATACTTTTTAACACGCGGGTTCGTAATTTGAAACTGGTTTTTTTTTTAATTGTTAGGAATCAGGAATTATTGAACAAAGACTATTTTCTAAACATCTATATTCACTTTTACACAAAAATGATTAATACTGTTGCATGTTTGTACATATCTTTTGATATGTCATTTTCGTTAACAATATTCTTCGCAATATAAAAAAAAAGATACCGTGTAATTTATATAAAATGTTGTAATTTGTTTTAATAAACAATTCTTTACAACTCAACGTATTGCTCTAACAACTTAAAAAACTTTCAAGTTGTCCTGACACATGTATAACACATACATCGACACATATCAATGAATTAATCTAATCGTAAGTACATAACATCACACGTAAGTTTTTGATTAACCGATCAACAACAATAATATAAAATTATAACAATGCGGTAATAAAAATTTAACTGGTAAAAGTTAATATGTACAGGAAAACAATAATTCAATTGTAAAATATGTAATATCACGAATTAACCAGTCCATAAAAGAAGTTGTATAAAGATTATAACTGTAAAATATAAAATGTTCTTAACATATTCAAAAAATTAATTCAGTAACAGTTTACCCAACTTTCAAACAATACGAATAGTCATACGAAAAACATCGAACCCTATAGTTAAATTATTTAAGTATGTAAAATGTACTGTATCCTACTTTCTTTAAAATCTACCGTATAGAATATTCGAAAAAGGAACGCGTGGGGATGTATAAAATACGGTTAAAACTACATATTCATAAATAGTAAATACTTGGAAGATATTAATGGCACTTTGCACTTTTGGATGATTATTTGCACTACTTTTTTTGATTATAAATGAATCTGGGAAACAACTGAAACACATTTACCTACAAGAAATCTTCTGTGGATGTTACTGTAGCCTCTATAAGCAGGCCAAAATCTAGCTCTGTTAGACTAGCTGTAAGACAAAGTTAATTTATGATTGACATAAATTTGTACAATCTATTGAAACTTATATTCATACCTTTTGCTGTAAGAAGATCAAGAAATGTATCTAACGGAGATAAACGGTCCGCTGATGGAAACGCAGCCAAACCTGTTGACAAATTTCATAAAATATCATCATACGGATGTTTTATCCTTTTAATTATTTATTCTTACCATTATGGTGATTTCTATGCTGCAATGTTCTACCACGATTTTGGCATATCTCGCCGGATAAGATATTCGCCGCGTGTTCACGAGCTCTCAGCATAAAGCTTACAGGATGTAACCATTGATTTAGAAGTCGTTTCGCTCTTGATCTCGGTAGTAAAGACAATAAAGTTAATTTACGAATGGCATTTTCTCTTGTATCACTAATATCTACGAGAACAAATAGATTACTCGAATACAGAGGGAAAAAATAAAAAGATCTCTAAAAATTTTAAAACAATATATACCAGCCATGATGATTTTGCTGACATCAACTTGTAACTCAAATACTGATCGTTGTACATATTGTAGAAACATAGAATACTTTAACGTTCTGTATCCAAGATAAGTAAAAAACGATGTAAATCCTTGTGGCGCTGGGAACGCTATACTTTCTATAGCGCATCTATAGCGTTCCAATAATACAAACAACAACCATCGTCGTGCCTCGTCCAATTGATCTCTAAAATGATATTTTAACTTAAACTTTATTAAAAATTTATCAACGACTTCATGAAAATTATTGAATTACACAAGGACGAAGCCGCGTTCTTGTTCGAGTCGTGGATCCACGCTAGCAGCTCGACATAACATTTGACAAAGAGCCCGTGAAGTTTCCAATTGTGCCGCTACATGCCTGGTCGCCATAGCGTGAACGTGTAATGGCGTGCACGCTCCTTGAACATGTGATATCGATGTCTGTGTACCATGTTTCAAGAGGTACATAGATAATTCTCTTAAATTTACAGACACAATATGTTCCTGCTTCGATGCTGTACAACTTTCCGTTTCGTTGAATGGCAAACCAGAGTCTAATAATTTATTACTACGGCAACCAGTTAAGTCTCCGAGCGATACTGTAGCCACAACTAATCTGCAATATTTTATTACCAAAATTAATCTCAGCTAGAGAAAGACTATACAACAGTTAAGAGTAAAACAATATTATCGATGTTAAAACACAAATCTGTCCAGAATCATGCAGGATGGTTTTTACATCGTTAATAAACATTCATTTACATTGAATTAGGTTAAGGGTATATTCGGTATGAGAAACACATAAAATGTTACCCTCCACTTGGAGACATTGGAGTGCTGGATCTGGATAGTGCTTCAGGTTGGTAACATGCTAAAGAGACCAACAATTTCTCAGCGATTTTACTCGGCTTAAATCTCGCTTTATCCCCATTATTTTTACTCAGATGATCCCATAATCTAGTCCACAGATCACTGCGGTACGGTATCAACCTTTGTTGCGGCGAAAGTAACATTACAGACGTGTTCCAAAGCTTTTCGTGACTTAACGTTATGCTTAAATTGTTCACTTTGATCTCGAAGCTTACGTACTCTTCCATAGTCGTGACTGGTAACAATGCTAACAACGGTATAGCGTCTGCTAATAAATTTTTCTGCACTAAAGCGTACGAGCCACCGATAAGAATTTCCTGCATGTATCGAACCATTTCCAACGATCTAGGTTTCTCTGCGATTGTACATATTAATTCTGAAATAATATCCAGATCGTGTCTGTGACTCAGAAAGTAATGCAGTATTCCTAAGCGTACTTCCGTCGAGGTCTCTTTGCGAAACACTTCGGTAAGAAAGTCAGATGAGATAGTTAATTGTACTAGGTCCAATGTGGGTAAGTCTATTGTTAGTATGTTCACGTTAGATTGAGATGCACTACATCCTTCTAGAGAAGCTGTATCGTACTTCTTTTTGCTTGTTTTGCTATTGTTCTCGAATTCAAGTAGCGGTACCAAATAAGAAGAACGAGATGGAATGGAGGTCAAAGGACCGCACAATATGTGACAACACGGTTCGTGATTCGTTCCAATTTCGAGGAGATGAGTGAATAAACCTTGTACCAGTACGATCATGTGATGATGTTGGTATATAGCGAACGTTGGCCGTATAAGTTTTGCGTGAGCCCATGGTATGCCAGGTATAACACAATGGATCACACAACTGTGATGAAGAAGCGTTACAGAATATGCGAAATGTACTGTATTAGATTCGTTCAATGAATTAAGTACATGCTGCTGTGGTTTTACTGGACGATATAAATAATGGTGGCAAACACAGACCATTCCTTTAGTGTCAGACACCACAATGAGATCTAGAGAACAGTCGTGAACTCTTAAAGGTATAACATCATCCTCATAAGTGCCACAATTGGAAGCAGTTGATAATTGAGGTAAATTCAGTGGTATATTTAACTGGAAGAAAGAGAGAAATTTTTTGAAATATGTTTGAAATTATTATTAGAATGCAATAAATTACTTACCACTGTCTCATGTGGTAAATCATCATGAAATTGGAGACCACTTAGAGTTGGATTGGTTCTTACTGATTTATTTTCTTTTTCTTCATCATCATCCTCAGAAACTAAACTCAATGGAATTTTTCTGTGATGTATATGATATAAAACCTGATTTACCATGTCCCATTGAGCCCAAATAAATGCTTTAACTAGTGATTCAGATTTTAACTCCTGTATTGGATGAAGTTCTAATACAGATGTGTCAAACTCTATGGTATATATTGTAATACCTATACAATCAAACAAATAATCATTTAAAATGATCCGTAAGAAATTTTTAAATATAATTCCTGTATTGTAGGATCCTTACATTCTTGATGAATTAATAATAAAAATTTGTCCCACTGTCTATGTTCTTTTTCTTTATACAAAAATTGAATTCTCACTTGTTTAGTTCTCTTTGTATCCAAGCTATGAACTTTTACTTCTTTTCCCTTTAACTCAACTATGAATGCTTCATACATTTCAACCTCAGTTGGGATACTCTGATCTTTTTCTTCTGTAGTTTCAAAAGGTTCTACAGATTCTGTAGTCATGTCTATAGGCACACTCTGTTTTGTTATATATCCAAAAATGGTACGGCATTGATTTATTGTGGCTTGGACAATGTTTAATACCTCTGAGAATTGGTGCAACACCTACATTACATTTGTATGATTTTAGCTGTACATATTCTAAGTGACATATTCTATCAAGTACATATTCTATCATAGATCAACATACTTGTAACTTATCATTAATCCGGTCGTAATGGCCTACAACAGTATATGATCTGCTTACATCGTTCTCCACAGTTTCCTCTGTCCATCCAATTAATAAAGATCCATCCTTCTCTTGACCCAATAATTTCCATTGTTCAGCTAAAAGTTAAGCTCACATTTTACTGGCTCATTTTACTTCCCAACTAAACAAAATACATGTATCTACCTAACAAGTAATTATATTATAATGTATAATGTTGATGTAGAATTTTTCTAAAATTTTCTAAACACTTATAATTAATGTAACACAAGAATTATGCATTGTAACAATCACCTGAGTGCGCTTTTTCCGGCAAAAGTAAACATAACTTAGCGGCAAGGTTTTCTATCATATCTACTTAGAAATTCTCTCTATTGGACACTGCTTTACGATATTTTAATTGAAAAACCACCGGTCGATCGTTTTCAATTCAACGAAACGCACAAGTTCCACGTATATTTTGACATTATCTGACTTATCGTCTGCTACTTTTATGGCTACCATACACGCGTTAATCTGACGGTGTTGATAGTGAGAGTGAATTGTACTAAAATTCTTGATTTTAGCGCCACCTTCGTTATAAACATTCCGATTCAGCCGACTCATACAGGTAATCATCAGGTAGTATATTTTTTTTTTATTCTTTAATTGAACCGCTGATAAAAGTATATCGTTCGAAGAAACATATCGACAAAAATACGCGTACAGGCCTGAGGCGTATGTAAAAATAATTGCGTATCACGAGCGCTTGATAATTATATACAATTAATCTACCTCACGACGATTACTCATTCGTGTGGGAATTTTACGGAAACGTAAAGTCTGCCGAGTTTCATTGAAAAATATCAGTACACGTAACGACTGCACTGGGTGGAGATCTCGTGTCTTATCTTCTGAGCAATTAGGGTAGTTTTCCTTGTATTACAGCCGCAGAAATAGGTTTGTTAAAAATGGTCACCGGACGAGCGCTTCATTATGTATTTAAAATACCGGATCGGAAATTGACAGCGAAATTTTATCGCGAAATCCTTGGAATGAAGGTTAGTATTTCAATAATTCGAACCGCAGTATACGCTTTCATGGAACATTGTTCTTTTTAAAGGTGTTACGACACGAAGAATTTGCTGATGGTTGCGAAGCAACTTGCAATGGGTTCGTAATTATCTTTGCATGTTTTTTAACGCGTACATATATATCTTTTTTCCCCGTTTAACGAAATTGCTAATATATAAGATATAAAAATTTTATACGCGTTTATGTGTAATTGAATATTTTATTTCTACCACATATATAGACGATACGCAAATCGATGGAGTAAAACTATGATAGGGTATGGACCAGAGGACACTCATTTTGTAATAGAGTTAACTTACAATTATGGAATCAAAGAATATAAAAGGGGAAATGATTTTGGTGGAATAACAATTCGTTCTAAAGAGGCAATTGAGAGAGCACGTGCAGATGGATGGCCAATAAAGGAGGAAAGTGGAAAATTTGTTTTAGAAGCACCCGGTGGTTACAAGTACTATATTATTGATGAATCACAGCCTACAAATAAAGGTATTAATAGAGGATTCTTCTAAATCAATTTATTTCAAAATCTTCTATGATTAATGTACATATTTTCTTGCAATAGATCCTGTGGAAAAAGTCACGCTGTCCAGTTCAAATCTTCAAAATACTATTGCTTACTGGAAAGATATTTTAGGTTTAAAGGTATTTGAACAAAGTGACAAAAAGGTACTGTTAGGATATAGCGAGGATCAGGCCAAGGTTGAATTTGAAGATATTGGTAAAGTTTCGCGATTTATTGTGTAATAAACATTTTTCCAATTATTTGTACCAATAAAACATGCCAATTTTGCTTGACCAGGTGCTGAAATTGATCATGCTGCAGGATATGGGCGTGTAGCATTTTCAATTCCTCATGCAGAGCAACCGGAAATACGAAAGAAGATCAAAGATAGTGGGCATAAAATACTAACCGATTTAATTTCCTTACCTACTCCAGGAAAAGCCGATGTTAGAGTTATTATTCTTGCTGATCCAGTAAGTCTACCGAGAATACTCTCTGTTTCTAAAGTATAATCTGATTGATACATGTTACAAAGAATTTTGTGAATGAACATTTCAGGATGATCATGAAATCTGCTTCGTGGACGATGAAGCATTTAGGCAATTGTCAGTTCCAGACTATCCAAGTGAAGAAGTCTTGAACATGTATATTGCTAAAGACAAGTAAACTATCGAGGCTACATCTATCATACACTTTTGAGGCTACAGTTTATTCGTGGAGCAGAATTTTATTTCAGTATTTTCGCAGATTTAGAAGGCCGCGCCGATAGTGCTTCGTTATTTTAAAAATCAATGTAATAAATGCTCTCATTAACACATAAAAAATTTGATGTGCAACATAGTTTTTACAAAAAATTTATATTTTATAATTTAATATATCTATAAAATGTATATGTATCATGGTGGTGGTTGTTATCGAGACTCAATAAAACCTTGTTAAGATATGACGTCGTTATTACTAGGAAATGACGTCGTGATTACTAGAAATATTCGTATCTCTCAAAGGGCATCACCAATGACCCCTTGTTTTATAATACGATTTCGAGAAAAAGAAGGCAGACTATCAGTAATGCACTTACTATCAAGAAAAATGTTTGAAATATGCGCACTTGTTATTCACACGTCCTGGCAGTATCAGTTCATTACAGAGTAACATATTGCATGTAACATTACTAATCGATATAATGAAATTTAAGATAGTTTTTCTTACGTTTATTTTAGTATTCTTTGTACTAGGTAAGTACTATCTGATATTTCTTTTTTTTACACAAGTTTTATTGTCAAATTTGTTATTTACCATTTGCAGATGGCATTAACGCAAAAGTGAAATTTGGTAACTTATCGTTTGGATCATTACGCAGATCATATAGTAGATCCCGTGGATCGTATGGTGGATCACGTGGATCGTATGGTGGATCACGTGGATCGTATGGTGGATCACGTGGATCGTCACATGGAACATCATATGGAAGTTCTAATCACGGGATTAGTAGTCATGGAACATCTTTCAATAGACCTGTTATGCCAAGTTCCATAGGTCAAAAACCTTCTAGTACTGGAACTTCTCATTCACATGCTACAGCAAGTTCTCCTGGTAATTTAATGTGGTCATTCAGATACAAATTTATGTTTAGATTAGAAACATTATTGTTTGTAATTTTTAATATATATCATTTTAGCAACATCTCAATCCAATAAAAATATTAATACACACTTCTTACATGGTGAGGGAGGAGGAGCTACACGACCAAGTAAATTTTATTCTATACACTCTAAATGGCTGTTATACTAGGTATAAAGAACAAGTAACATAGTGTAAATTTTTTTAATAAGCCCAAACACAACCTGCTCAATCATCAAAACTTGGAAACCATCATACCCCGTACCCTGCTGTACCTGCTTCTGCTCCACCACTTGGAGGAAAACCAGGAGTTGCATTTGACCACAGACAAACTTCACCTTATCAACCATCTGCACCTCATCAGGATATTACGAAATCTTCTGCAGGCACACTTCAGAATCAAGGTCCAGGTAATGTAAAAAAACTGACTTAAGGCCTTCGATTTTTATCGAAGTATACGTATTTATATTGCTGGACATTCAATAACAGGTCAAGCAAATCCCTCTTGGAGCAATCCTTACTTAAATACCAACAGTCCAAACGCAGGGCGTTATCCTCCATGGAGTAATCCTCATCAAGGAGCCTTTGCACCACCTGTATCAGGTTCTCAACCAGCTGTACCAGGTTCTCAATCACTTCCAATTGGATTTAAAGATCATATTTATCCACAGAATCGTCCGACCTCTCCTGGCACTCAATTTAGCCCACCTACCAGTGGACATCCCCCTTATCCTACACATTCTATGCCCTCTTCACCTATCAGTGGTCATGCTCCTTACCCCCCACAACATATGCCTTCACCTTTCAGTGGACATACCCCATACCCCACACAACATATGCCACCACCTGGTTCTTTGTCACATTCTGCTCCTTCTCCATACCACCCAACGAATTCAATGCCATTAGGAAATCCTTACTCTATGCATCCTCCTGGAGGTGTCTACAATGCACCTGGACAAGCCTCTTACCCACAACAACCACAAATGTTTGCTCAACCTGCAACACAACCCTTTATACCCGGCCAGACCATTCTGATGGTACCAGAGAAACATGATTCTGGCAGAGGTTTCGGCCAGATGGTCAAGGAAGCTCTCGTGTTCTCGACTATTAACGCAGGAGTAAATAGGATAATAAATCCTCATACTCATCACTATACTGAAAGCAGACCTGCAACAGATACTGCTGCTCCTGCTGCTGCAGCACCTACAACTCATGTCACTTACAACAACCAATACTTCAATGGTGTTCCTGGAACTCCTGACGCAGCGAATCCTACAAACATGCCACAAGGAACTGGGCAAACTAATAATTACTCAGGTGGAACACCTACTTCAAACATGCCACCAGTAACTGGATTAACGAATAGTTATCCAAGTGGAGGAAATGGCGTTCCTTCGTCAGGAAACGAGAGTCCATACGTTCCGAACATTCCGAATATTCCTAGCAATACAGATAGCTCAAGTTCAACTGGAAGTGGACATAGAACAAGCATTACTGGATCTCGTACAAATGAGAATGTCGCTGCACCTACAGCTGAATCTAATGCTGCTAACCCTACCACTGCTGACCCTAATGTACTACAATACAGAATTTCTGACAATGAACTTTACCAAATATCAGAGGAACTCTTCATGAAAAGCTCCCACGACATATCTAAGATGATAAAACTAAATCTACAGACTCGTGTTACATCTCCTAATGTAACAGACGAAGCCAGGGAACCGTGAGTATTTGATCGCTAATTTATAAATTTCTAAGTGACCTCAAGCAACTGATTTTTATCTACAGATTGTTCGACGTGGAACCAGAGTTATTAGAGTACCCGACGATTTACGCGACACGGTCCTTGTACAACAGCTACGAGTACGATTATAAGAAAAAGATTAATCGCACGATCGAGACAAGGAAAATGGAGAACCTTCTCATCGACACCTTCTTAAATACAAACGAAATTGCGACAGCGATGCAATGGCTAGCTGATCATGGATTCGTCGACCCGGACGACTTCGAGAGGAAAGACGTGCTTCGTCGTATATGGTTCACCATGTTCAGTGGAAGTACATGTGGATTCGAGCGTGTGTTCGCATCTGAAAATTACGGCAATGCTATCGTTGGTGTTCAAGACTGGATTTACTTCCAAAATCAAGAATCCCAGAAACGTATAGATTACATGGGCTACGTGGATAAATTGAATCTTGGAAGTGTAAGTCATACGAAATAAGTAGCATAATATTCGTTATTTATTTTACCTTTTTTTTCTTTCCTTTTTTTTTTCAGACGGCTTCTTTATTAAAATTGAACTTCCAAATGGACGGAATCATTCGACCAAACGCGACAATATTCGTGGGCACTTTGCCTGAACTGGAAATGTCCTTATACACTATATGCTTCTACGCAAGGCCGAACAATCTGTGTCCAGTCTCCCTCGGTGGTACTAAATTCAACATCTACACGCATTCGTTCAATTATTTCGGAAGTGAGGTTATGGACCTCGGTCTCCTGATGTTCTAACTTACAGATGCAACTTAAAACGTAGTTATATATGTAGAATTTAATGTAGTTTATATTATATCGTTATAATTATATATAAAACGAATAACAAATTATATCTTAACACTTATTAGCAAGAAAACTGAAATCATAATGTATTTTCCTTCTGCGCTAATTCTTCCAATTAAACCTTTTTACCACGGTACAACCTCAAGGCTGCAAAATTCAATTTTTCCTGAAACATATAATAACAATTTATCACTGAACGTCACAAAAGCAGCGTCTGTATCATACTGAAACCAGAAGAGAATCCATTAAGAATTCTTAAAGAGGAACGAAACGTCCTTGCATTGAGGAGTCAGGGACGCGTCATTGCCTTCTGGACCTTGCTCGTTGTCAGATTATTCTATCAGATCCCTACCACTCACAATACACGCATTACAGATCAATGTGAAGAGAAAGCCAGCCCACTAACACGTACTCTACGCGCTACAATTTCGAACTGGTCTGAAGGTGGTTAGAACACGTCGTTACGCGGTAAACGCTTCAGTAACAGTTCAACCATCGAACAGTACGCATCGACCGCTCGATGGTACATCGTCGACTTCGATATTCAAGCATACAGTAACAGTAACAGTAAAAGCGCCTATTCAAGGAAGATGAACGTCAAACTAGTCTTGGTCTGCACGATTCTCGTTTTGTTCGCGTTCGGTAAGTCAGCAAAATTTTTTTTTACAAATCGTAAAACCGGTTTGAAAACGGGGGGAAAACGCGTAGTTTGTCCTATATGGAAGGATACGTAAAACTATGTACATATACTGTCTTAACTTGGTGCAATATTCCATAGATTCGTAATGTTAGAAAGTATTGTAAATTTATAGAAGTGAAAGTTTCTTGGAATAACAAGCTACCTGTAACTGATCGTTCGAGGCGATCGAGGTTGCAAATTTTCGCGTAGTAAGACAAATTTCACAGATAAAGAAATACGTGTACTGGTTTCAAACGAAGTATCGTGTTTCACCGCGAACAAAGCTTTCCACGAATCGCTTTAATCGGCTCTAACGTGAAGTTCCATCGAACAGATCATAACAAGATCAGAGAGAGAGAGGCAAATTGCTGCCTCTCAACGCATCTATGCACGCGAATGCCGTATTATTCACTTGCCGTGTAGTACTTACGAAGGGATCGAGAGGAAGTCGCAGGAAATCGTGGCTCTTCTAGAAAGTCTCGACGGCTGACATTGAGTCACACCGATGAATTCTGAGCAGTTCCGCGAAACCTATTGTCCGTTCTGCAGTCCTGGCCACGCTAATCTCGCCTGATTCGGTAAAATGCTCTAGGATGACGTGTTTATACAAAGAATAGCAAACAAATAGAAACTTAACCCTTTCGTGACGGAATTTTTTTAAAAGAATTTTTTATTTATTCGTGTCTGTAATGGATACTAAATAGAGATAAACTTTTGTTGGAGATGCATTCCCACTGAATTACACACTATACGAGATAATGTGAACTAAGGTTCCTCGAAGTTTTTCCTCTATATTTGTCTTAAGAATGCCTTAAGAAATAAAAGGATAAAATTGAAGAAATAACTTTTTCCCCATTCTCAATGGAAAGCTCGGGCACTTTTTTAATGACTTCAACGCACTAACAATATATATACCATTATTTGATTTAGCGAATTGATAAATTGTTAGGGACTTGAAGTAGCAATGAAGAGGTTCAAACGAACGAGTGGGTAGAATATTACGAATCGTATGACACGATCTAGATCATGCATTGCTGGCGATTATTAAGAAAATTGAAATATTATTCCACTCGAAGACTTTGATTCGACGTAATTTCCGTTTTCACTTGTAACAACTGGTAACACCTCTTTTTTTTTGATTTTCGATGAACTCATCGCATTCTGCATTGTTGTTCAAGCACTGTAATCACAGTAGTGTGCGCGTAATTCACGTTGCAAAGATTCTGTCCAGCGATTTCATTCGTTTCACGCTTCGTTAATTCGCTAGCTGGCAATTCGTTCGCGTAGCACACAATTTGAACAAGTTTCGAACTGTTTTTTTCTTGAAAATTTTCGTTCGTGAAAAATCAGATAAAATTTACCAAGTGCAATTTAGACGATGATTTTTATTTATGGAAAAAAACACTACGCTGAATTTAAACGACGATTTTTATTTATGGAAAAAATACTGCGATGATTTTACTTTCGTGCAGACGGAGATGCAGTCAAGTCAAGTAGACGGAGAACCGGAAGTAGCGGATGGGGATTTTCATCTCGTGGGACAACGCCTCGTCCTCGCTACTCGCAGAGCTCGAATCATCAAGGTTGTACGGCAGATAAATCGTGTAGATTTTTAAATACCTGGGAAAAATGGACAATTACCATTTTTTCTTCTTCTCCCAAGTATTTCAAAATCTACTGTTGGAATATTCGAATAAAACGTACAGAATTTACAGTGTAACCGTTAGGTCGTGTAATATGAGACGCGTTGCGTTGAAATCTCTAACACGCGGTCGATTATCGACCATCTGCCCAGGCATATTGAATTTCGTTCAGAGGAATGTCTAAGCTTACAAATATTATTTGTAATTCTAGCAGCATCTCAACCTAGTAAAAATGCTAATAGAGACTTCTTAAAAGCTGAGGGAGGAGGAGCTACACGACCAAGTAAATCTCGTTCTAATACACTTTAAATGGCTGGTGTTGTATTATTCATGAAATATAAGTAACAAAATCATGAAACACAATCCACGAGAAATTATAGGAAATCGTTTCACGATTTTTCGTATAGGTGGCTCACAACCAGGAAAAGTAGGATGGAACGTGCCCGATAAGAAACCACCAGTGACTAGTACCAATACAGCGGCAAAACCATCTGCACCTGTGAATGAACAACTGTCTAAATCTAGCGCTACAAACGTGCAATCATCTGGGTATTCTCCATCAGGTATTATGCACCTTCTTACAGCATCATAAACATGGATCACCCTGTACAATATTAACAAAATTACAAAGCGTCCTGACACAATTTCTCCAGGTGGATATCCTCGTCAACCAGCCAACAATCCTTACCAAACCAACGCCAGTCCTAATCAAGCATACAATCCATCAGTTGGCCAAGGTTACAACCCCTCAGTGGGTCATGGTTACAATCCACCACCTGGCTATTACAGTCCTGGAGTAGGTGGTGGACACCCTCCTGCATACGGCGCACAACCGTCCTATGGCGGCTACAATCCTGGTTTTGGACAGCCGTCGTACAGCCCGTCTATGGGACAATCTCCGCAAACGATTTTGGTACAGGGATCGAAGCCTGGAATAGGACAATTGGCAAAAGAGGCGTTCGTTTTCGCTGGCGTGAGCGCTGGTGTGAATGCGGCGGTGAACAGATTGATACCAGGTGGAATTTATGGCAACAGGGGCAGCGGAGGTGGAGGAGAAGCAGCGGTAGTTAGCGGTGTTCCCCAGACTCAGATCACCTATAATAATTATTACAACAATGGAACTGCACCTGTTGGAAACCCTGAACAACCTGCAGCTGCTGCTGCTGCTCCTGCTCCTGCAGCACAACCAGCTGCTGCGGCTAATGCTGAACCCCCAGCAGTTCAGCCATTAGCTCAACCGTCTTCTGAGACTCCACAAGCTGCACAAAGCAACGCTGGTACCAATAGCGCGCCTCCAAGTAACGCCAACACTCAAGATGCAGCGCAGAATAATCCTAATCCATTAGGATTCGTTACGTCTAATGAAGATATCAAGAAGCTGACAGAGAGTCTGTTCGAGAAAGAGCAGAACAGCGCTATGAAGCATATAACGATGAATATTCAAGGTCAGAAGAAGGATGATAGCATCACT